TGGAATAAGTAATTCTACATAGTGTCAGATGAACCATAGAACCCTGAAATGCTCTGAAATGGACTGAACAGTGAGTAGAGTGAAGAGGAAAATACTTTGAAAAATTTTGACAGAAAATTTATCAATTTATGAAAGCTTGCAAGAATTAATTGGAGTTTATCATAGATATCTTCACTGGATTAACATTGTATCAGTGCCAAATAAACATATCAGATATTGATAATGGCGTGTAAATTACCACCACCAGAGGGATTTAATTTCGCTACACCAAACTTATGGCCTGCATGGAAGAAGCGATTCCACAGGTTCAGGCTTGCTACAGAACTATTCAAGAAGCCTAATGAGGTGCAAGTGAGTGCATTATTGTATGCAATGGGATCAGAGTCTGAGAAAATATATGAAACATTTGTATTTCCACCAACACCTGTTGTTGAAGGTGAGGAAGGTCAGCCAGTCGCTCAAGGTGCAATTGCTGCTAGTGTAGAGCCGGACTATGATCTAGTGATCCAGCGTTTTGATGGATATTTTATTCCGCAACGAAATATTGTATATGAACGTACTGCATTTGAAAGGATGACGCAGGCTAAAGGTGAACCAGTTGAACAATATATTCGTCGACTTTACGAGCAAGCTGCTAAATGTGAGTTCACTGACAAGGATGAACGGATTTTAATGCGGATAATTATTGGCATTACTGACTCTGAATTGTCATTAAAGCTACAGGAACCAAGGGAACCAGAATTAACATTGTCTCAGACTATAGCTATGGTACGGAGCAAGGAACAAGTACAACTCGAGAATAAGGCTCTGTCGACTGAAGTTGAAACCGTATCAGCGATTAAGGATCGAAAGACATTTAATTTCAGCAAGTCAAAGCCAGTGCGACAAAAATCTGAGGCTTCCAGTAAGAAGCCAGATTCCCAAACTGCCATCCGTAATGATTGTTCTAAGTGCGGACTTACACATGATAGGGGACATTGCCCGGCGGCTAATCGAAAATGTAATAAGTGCGGAAAAATGGGGCACTACGGGAGAAAGTGCCGATCAACATCCTGTAAGAAGGCTGTCAGAGAGGTCGAATGCGACGACAGTTCAGACGACATTGATGATGTTTTCTACATTGATAATGTGAACGTAAGTACGGTTCGATCTACTAATGTACAACCCTGGAGAATTTTGTTGCCAGTAAACAAGAATATCATTGATTTCAAAATTGATACTGGGGCGGATGTGTCTGTGCTCAGTCATGATATTTATACTCAGTTAGACCCCAAGCCCAAGTTGAAGTCTATGGGGGGTAGGTCTGTAACTAGTCCTGGGGGGGATTTATCTGTGGTAGGAGAGTTTGTAGCAGAGGTGCCATATCGCAATGTAAAATATAAAATGCGGACTATAGTAGTCAAAAATAAGACTGATTGTTTACTTAGTCGAGCCGCAGCGGATAAAATGAACCTAGTGACGCGTAATCAGTGGGTAAACAATGTTCGCGAAGAGAAGATTATTATGTCCGGAGATTCCGTCGGCAAAAGTACAAAATCTCGCGAATTACCCATAATGAAATGTAAACCAGTGACCATATCATTAAATGAGGATTGTAAACCATATTCACTCGCCGTGCCGCGACGCATTGGATTAAATCTAATGAAACCGTGCCGAGAGCAGTTAGAGAAAATGGTTGAAAGGTCAGTTATACGCCGCGTCGAGGAGCCCACTGATTGGGTAGCGCCTATGGTTCCGGTTTTGAAGAAAAACGGGTTGGATGTCCGTATAGCGGTGGATTTGAAAAGATTGAATCAATCTGTAAAACGTGAAAGATACGTTATGCCTACGCTAGATGATATTACACACAAGTTGGCAAAATGCAACACATTTTCAAAATTGGATGCCAAGAGCGGTTATCACCAGATACCTTTAAATCCGGAGTCGCAACTGTTGACCACATTTATTACACCGTTTGGGAGGTTTTGTTTCCAAAGGTTGCCAGAGGGGGTAAGTTGTGCACCTGAGATTTATCAGAGGACAATGTCTGAGATTCTTAAAGATATGCCTGGAACATCAGTTTGGATGGATGACATCCTTGTGTATGGTAAAACAGTTCAAGAGCATAATAAGAATCTTGACAATGTTCTCAAACGCTTAAAAGACATGAATGTGACATTGAATCGCGAGAAATGTGAGTACAGGAAATCAAGCATTGAATTTCTTGGATACATTTTCAGCGAAAATGGAATGAGTCCAGATCCAAAGAAAGTACAAGCGATTGTGGACATGCAAAAGCCTTCTAACGTAGAAGAGCTTAGACGGTACCTCGGGATGGTTCAATTCCTTGGTCGGTTTGTGCCAAATTTATCGACGGTTTTGAAACCGCTCAATGAGCTATTGCGTAAGGATAATGTGTGGGTATGGACAGATATACAACAAGATGCTTTTGATAAGGTCAAGTCCATGCTTTCTACAGCACCGAGTTTAGTGTATTATGAAATTGGACGTCCTACAATGGTAAGTGCAGATGCCAGTTCCTACGGGTTAGGGGGAGCAATTTTTCAGAAACATGAGAAAGGATGGCTTCCGGTAAGTTTCGTATCACGTACCTTGACTGATGCTGAGACAAGATATGCACAAATCGAAAAAGAGTGCCTGGCCTCAGTCTGGGTATGTGAGAGGTTTGATCGATATCTCATAGGCTGTGAAAAGTTCAAACTCTTGACGGACCACAAACCATTGGTACCTTTGATTAGGGATAAGGATATAGACAAAGCTCCGATAAGATGTCAGCGGATGTTGCTACGGTTACTTAGATATAATCCCGAGGTTGAACATTGCGCAGGGAAAAATTTGGTAGTTGCGGATCAGTTATCGCGATCTCCATTAAATTCCACTTTTGGAGCTCAAGACAGTATCGACAGTATTGAGAGTTATGTCAAATCAGTGATTACTGATATACCTATTTCACCCACCAGATTAGACATGATAAGAGAGGCAACAAAGTCAGATAGTAATTTATCGCGAGTATATGCATATACACTTTCTGGTTGGCCCAAATATCACAAAGATGTGTCTATTGAGTTGAGACCATATTACGATGCGCGCGCTTCTATCAGCGTTTACGATGAGTTACTTCTATTCGGGAATAGAATCATTATCCCCATGTCAATGCGTGACGATATTCTAGAAAAGATTCACGCGGGTCATTTTGGGATTCAAAAATGTCGTGAGAGAGCTGCCACAAGTGTTTGGTGGCCAGGCCTTTCAAGTGCCATTCAAAATAAAGTCGCTAATTGTCAACATTGTGAAGAAAAGCGAGCTTCAAATCCAAGCGAGACACTATTACCAACACCATTACCAGACAGACCTTGGCAAAAACTAGCCACGGACCTTCTAGAACATGCTAAAAAGAACTATCTTGTAATAGTTGACTACTTTTCACGTTATTTAGAGGTTTTACATGTTCCTGGGTCTGTGACTTCCCAACAGGTCATTGACAAACTTAAAACTGTGTTTGCAAGATTCGGTATTCCTGAGACCTTGATATCGGACAACGGACCTCAATTTAAGTCATATGAGTTTAAGCGGTTCGCAGAAGAATACGATTTCAAACACGTAACGAGTAGTCCACATTTTGCGCAGGCTAACGGCCTCGCAGAACGCGCAGTTCAAACGGCCAAGCGTATTTTATCAACAAATGACCCTCAGTTAGGTCTTATGAGTCACCGTGCAACTCCAGTTAATGCTACAGGCAAAAGCCCAGCACAGCTGCTCATGGGACGTAACTTGAGAACCACATTACCCACTATTTCAAAGAATCTTGATCCTGATTGGTCGGATATGAGAGAAATGAGAAATCGCGATCAGAGAGCAAAACTGATTTATGCAAAGAATTTCAATTCTAACAAAGGGGCAAAAGCCTTACCAGAACTAAAATCGGGAGATCGGGTTAGAATCAAGTTAGACAAAGAAAAACAGTGGAGTTCACCAGCGAAAGTAGAGAGAAAAGCGCAAACTCCGCGTTCATATATTGTTAATCATGAGGGGTCTCTTTATCGGAGAAATAGAAAGAATCTACTCCAAACTCAAGCCATGTTAAAACCAAAGCTTTCATGGGATAAACTGTTCCAAAATACTGATTGCCCTCAAACTCTTGAGTCACATGCAAGACCAGTTACAAATCAGATTGAGAGTCCTATTAAGAATATTCCACTCAGCAAGCTTCCCAATCTAAGCACAGATACTGAGCTTCAAACCCCTTCATTTCATGCTAGTGGCAACCAGGGTATTAGTAGTTCCAACAGTGCTTCAACAAGTATGAGTGGATACACCACACGTAGTGGTAGAGCAGTAGTAAAGCCACTCAGATACCAGAACTAATAGTTCTAGGTTATAACATTTGCATAAAGTGAAATATATAGTGTGTTCATTCATAAACAGTTTGTATGTAAAAACTGTGGACAGTAAAAGTGTGTTTAATATATTGAGATTTTAGTTTATTTCATACAGAGACAATTAAAGACAAGATGTTATACATGCACAGCATCATTAGAGACTTTAAATGTAAAGTTTTATTTTATTGACTCTTGAGATACAATTGCTTAAAGTGATACTTTAACTTAAAGAGGGAGATGTTGTGTAATGATATGCAACTATAATTACAAATGTAAGTTTGGCACAATCCATGATTGTGCTGTCAGTATTGTGTTATGCGCTGAGGCCATCTAGCGGCAATAAATAGAACTAGACGCCATCTTGAAAAGAGCATGGTTTTGTTGACCTAGATATTAAATGGATCAATTACATCTTATAGTGAGTTAATCAATTGGAATAAGTAATTCTACACCGACCTACCGACCTCGAGGCGAGGCTCAAGCTGTACTCTACTGTATTGTGTGACAAAACGTTTAGTGCTTTGGGTGGGTATTGGAGAACTTGAGATTTTAAACTTAATATCGATAGAAAGATGTCACTGTTTGCATTGCGATCATATTACATTCCTACTGGGTATATTCAATAAAGCAACAAGGATGTAAAAAACAAGGGCAATCAATATTGAATATTGAATCAGTTCCAAGAAGTAAAACTAACTCCAATTGCGACATCCGATTATTCGTTTGGGTATAGCCGAGCTGAAAATTCAGGTAAGAAGCAGTTTTGTCACATTGTACGGGGAAATACTTATCTGTGTATCTTTCAGGCCGAAAGATGAGAGGCTATTGAAGGCAGAAAAAACTCAGGGGGCTCCTAATAAGGGCTGACAATGATGGTTAAAAAAGGTACAGCTGGAAAATAAAATTTCGGTAAAAAATTGCTATACCTGCACATGTTATTATCTGGTACACTATAAAGTATGAAGGGATGTGTTAATTTCCTTGCTTTTTTCAGGAAAGTGTACATGTGCAGGTATAGCAATTTTTTACCAAAATGTTACTTTCCAGCTGAGCATTATGATGAATAAATGAATGATTTCAACAATAAGGCATTCTGGTTGATCATACCCCTTCTTTATTATCTGTCGTTTGAGAGGAAATGTTAAAGATCACTTTGGAAAGTTCAAGACAAGGGGCACAAGTGACAATTAGGTATTTGTTGCAATACTGAATTGGTTTTATGGTAGGCCAACATTTATTTGGATCAACCAACTAGTACGTGGGACTCACTGAGAACCCATTTTCAAAACAGGAGTGGGCCCTCATTTGAGAAAATAGGCCTCGCTCCGTCGCTCGACTTTTAAACGTGTCCTCAATTTTTAACTTTTAAATTCGCAACATTTTCAAAAAGAATAAACTTTCTACAGTTTTCAAGTCTGTTTCTATTTACTTGGTAAAGACTAGGTATTTATTTATTTAGATTAAATTGTTTAACAGTTGCACTCTTATAATTAATGAGGTACATCTATAGAAGGGTATACATCGTGACATGTAGGCTAGGTTAAAAACAAATATATCTAACTAAAGTAAGATTTTAAAAAAAAGAATCAAATAAAATACAATAGTCATGACATCAACAATGTGTCCCTCATCCCCCGATAACCATCTCAATTTTATGTTAGTTGGGGCTAAAAAAGAGGAGATGCAATGCACAACTTTATGGATGTCAACTTAACAAAGTGGAAAGTGATGGGCACTAGAAATCACCTTTTTATTTTCAAACTGTATCTAGCATATTCAAAGCTGTACAGCAGGAAATATGGCCTTAGTGGTCTCAACGGAGAGAAGCTATAAATAGACAAACCACCACACAATCTCAACCTAGTAACTCTAGAAAGGACAGAACATTTAGAGCCCTCCATAGCTCAAAAGGTACATAAATATATATAGAAATGATAATGATAAATTCGTTTTATAATGTGACTTACCCGAGGCCCGGGTATACTGTCATAAATAAAAGTCTTATTTTTATCCATTAAACTTATAAAAATCAGTCTTATTATTATCAGTATAATATACATGTTTATTATGCACCTCATTTAAATACTCAAATCTGATTGGTTAAGAGCTGCAGGGTATATTGCAATACGTGGCAGCAAGATCTCGTTCTATCCAGTATTGAAGAAACGAGATCTCCAACCATCCAGTATGCCAGAATACCTATCATCGAATAAAAATACTAGGCTCGGCTTCTGTTTTTAGTAGACGCATTCTTTAAAATAAAGTATTTCTTGACAATTTAACACCATCTTTTATTTATCTACAGTAAATTAATGGTAGGAATATGATATTAACCAAGGGAGGTGCATAATAAAATAAATACTGGATGACCATGGGGTGAATATATAAGGGTTATGTACTGGGAGGTTTTGGATACAGGGTTTATCCCAAAGGAAATATGTGTATCTCACGAGGGACTGCAGGGACCGAGGGAGATACACATATTTCCCGCCGTACATAACTGGTGTATCTCATACTTGAGTGGGTTTGGGGTAGATATAACCTTTACCACCTTTTTCAAATGACAAGATAGGCCTATACTGTAAAAGCACAATTTATATTTAACATTTTCATAATATTCCTTCAGTTCAATTCAATAGAATTGTAACATTTAAACTTTTTGAAAAATTTTAAACTTCTGAAATTTAAATTTTTAAAATTTTTAAACTTTTGAAAAAATTCCCGGGAGCGGGATGGATATATTATATCTGCCCGCATTTGGACTAGAGCGGGACATATACAATATATCCTGCCCGCTCCTCAGATATGATATATATTCCCGGGTGATATCTACCCCAAACCCACTCAAGTATGAAATACACCAGGATACCTATCCTCATAAATAAATACTAGGCGAGGATAGGTATTCTTGCATATCCACCTCATGGTCATCTAGTTTGTTTAATACACCACGCATTAACAATTCAGTGCACTAGCGAACTCTCAATGACTTACCATGCTCTACACTAGCTACATTACATATCACATACATTTTTCATAAGGAAATCAATTCTATATAATCCTTGATCGACCAAGATATAGTAAAAAACAAGGTCTAGTCCTAGAAAGATTGCTCCGAACCGGTCCGTCTTCTCGCTGCAAGCAGGAGGAAATTCTTTGTCACAAAGTTTGGCATTTTTTATAAAATCAAACGCGCGTCATTGAAACTCACAAGATGTAAATAGCATGTCATTTACATCATACCTTGATGGGGAAAATAGATCTTATATGGTAGAAGTACTAAATAAAAGTTATCGTGAAAATGAGACAGTCGTTCTCGAGAGAAAAGAGCATAAATGCGCATTTAGAGTTTTGGTCCGTTTAAAAATCTGTAAAAATTGGGGTACTTAAAAGCATCGGGAGGCATCATATATTTCAAATTAGACACGAGGAAGTCAATATTGAGCAAGTTATGGCTGTTTTAAATTCAAATAAAACCGTTAACCCGTACCGGTCCAGCTTTTGACCCGTACCGGTCAATTTTCGTTAACTGCGTATACCAAGGGTGCTGAAGGCAGGTACAGATCTGTACCAAGTTTTCGGCATACATGTACATATAAGACTAGGTCAGCCTTCAGGGCCTTACTCACTTCGAGAGCCATGTTAGATTTTGAAACTTATCGGGAGGTATTATATCAAAATCCACATAGCTTTCGCAGGAAGTAAGGTCAGCCATCAATTGATTAATTATGTACTTTAGCTATATCCTTCTTTAATGGACTTCATTTATGCTTAAATTCATAAAATACTTTAAAATACTATGTACCCTTGTTGCAAGGGTGCTGTAGGTATGATATTTCGCGAGAGGGAGCAAAAAGCAAATAAAAATGTCATCGATACGCTTTTTATGATATTTATGATACTGCGCTATGTACTTGTGCAATGATATATCATAGTAACTGCAAACAATACAAAGTAGTGGAACCCATACATAGGAGCACCTCTTTAATCCGAACACCTCTCAATATCAACCCCCTTTTAGTCCCAATTTTGCTTCTACCCCTTGACTCAAAAATATGAACACAACCTAATCCGAACACATTTGGCTCGTTCCACTAGTGTTCGGATTAGACAGGTTGCACCTTGGGTTGCACTGTATTTTTTAAGGTCAAGGTCGAGGTCAATATATTTTCACGTTTGTAATTATAATGACAGCGAATATGGGGATTATGGTCGGTTTAATGACGGAACCCTACATATTTTTTATGTATAGATAAACATGGCATTACTTTAAGGTTCAACTGTTCAAGAAAACATTTTTTGAAAAATTGCTATATTTGCCCATGTTATTTTCTGGTGTTATTTTCATTCAAAAAATTAAAAGGATCCGTACCTATAAGTGTACCTATAAGAACTTAGAAAATTATTGAAAAGGGTAAAATGGAATTCCAGAATTATTTTTATGCAATTTGAATCTTTATTAAGTATATTTTCAACAAATCACAAAAATAGTGTGAAAAATATGGTAAAAAAAGGTGTTTTTAACAGTGATTCTTAGCACATATCATGTTGACTCTTCAAATGAGTAATTTTGACATATTTTCACAGAACCTTGATTAAAATCTTGAGTTTTGTAGATAGACTTAATTTCACTTGTCAGTAAAAGAACTACAATGTGCCTCAATCTACTAAGCTTCATTTCATGTGCGATTCATGCATAAATAGTTAGTAATCCTAAATGTATTGAAAGACACCCTATTGTGTTTTTGTTGTAAACAGTGAATTACCTTCTCCATTCATTGACAGATTGAGGCACTTCCACAAACCAGACCCCCTCTGAATTTACCTTTATTGTTTAGTATTGACACTATTTTATAATTCAAACATGAAATAAGAGAGGGTCCTAAGTGTGGAAGATACACAATATGAAAGTATAGCAAAACTTTTAGTTTCAAAAAGGAGGCCATATTGAAATTACCATTATAGTCAAGAATCCATTCTGCCTTGAATGTATTGCTTAAGGTAGGTGCAACATCGAACCTTCTACAAAAATAGAAAATCTTCTTTGGAAAGACATTCTGGACTGAACCTTCCAACAAACTCTGTCATTTACAATAACGATTGTGTCATCGTATCACGCCACAGAGAATCCAACCCGAGTTCCCATAGATAATTCTGAGCACCATTTTCAAACCTCTAAACAAACATGTATTCAATTTTCAATGATAGCAAGATCAAAGAAAACAATTATCATTTACAATAAAGCAATTAAATCACAGGTAACTAAAAGTATGTTTTTCAAAAATCTGTTCATGGGGTGTACTATTAGAACATGTGATATGTAAGCAATGAGCCTGATAATCCCAAAAATATGTTTCGGCTAGTCATTTGTTTGAATGAATATTGCTTGTTAAGTGTTCATATGAAATAAACTAAGACAATTATGTCATCTATAATTGTTTTAATTTCTTTGACAATGCCAAATGAAAATATAATGCAATGGAAAGTCGCCACTAGATTTAACTTGAATTTAGGTTTTGTATTTTCAACTGTTGCTCTTTGTGTTCTACCTATCTTTGTGTTCTATCTTTAATGATGTTTTGACATAGTTTCTAGGTTGAATACCTAGGTTAAAGCTACAGTATACACAATAAGGGTGATCATGGAACTATTGTTGAGAACACATTTATTAAGGTTCATTTTTTCAAAAGATATATTAGTTTTTAGTTTTTTTATGATATGTGTTTTCAATATGTTGCCCTTTGTGTTCTACCTTAACAATGTTCTGATATATCGATTGAAGAATGGTCAACATACTTATAATGATCATGAATGAAGACTAACATACCCCTAAAATGATATTTAGAATGATTTGTGTAGTCAAACTTAAATGCACTGAATGACCTTAGTTTTAATCCAAATGACCTAATTTCATTTTTTATGAGTTCATAATTGTTAAAAGTAACTATTTCCATATTATTTTCAATGAAACCTTTGGGGGCACCTTCAGGTACATTAGGTAACGGATCCTTTCAAGACAAGACAAGACAAGACAAGACAAGACAATCAACAACACTGGATTGCCTATAATTCATTTCTAAATCACTAAACACAAGATGCAAAAAGGATGCCACTGGCGGATCCAGAAGCAAACAAGGGGGGGGGGGGGGGGGGGGGGGGCAAGTCACTCTGGAAAAACATTTGGGCCCCTAAAACCCCAAATTTTAAAATTTTAAGGCCTATTTTTGTAATCTGGCCTATAAAGGCACATTTTTGAGAACCTACACAATTTTTGGGGCCCTAAAAATGTGTTCTCTCATAGAAAATAGGGGGGGGGAGCTTGTTTTGAACTAGAACATAACGTGCGGTATACCAATTCTTCTTGGTTGCACGTTGTCCCCTTTTCTCCAGTGAATTATGCATGCGCACAGACTTGATTCTTCCTTCTTATAGTCGAATCTTATAGTACTTCGAATTCACCATGCAATTAATGATATTACTTTTACATGACCTTAAACCTTTTAACACACAATATACGCTCTGCGTCAAATTGTAATAATATGTTGTGTAAATAATTTGAATGGAACAATAAATATAAATGTATAATGCATAATAAAAAAGCAACATTTGAACCAATATTTAACAGTTTAAGGAGGTCCTGGTCCATAATATGTCTTGATTTAAAAAAAATACTATTTGCTGTAAAAACGTCGGGCTTTTGGGTCGAAATATGTCTCTCATCACAAGGGGTCAAAAACGTAAACGTTTTCATTCGAATTTATACACTATAAAACCTAAGACGTTAACTTCTAAGCATGTATTTGCAATAAATTGTACTATCGTTTTTGTCAAAATTAATTTGAAATTCAATGCAATTTTCGGTAAAAATAATTACACTCTTAAAAATTATTACTTGGATTTCCTTATATTGAGAAATTGTACTACTCATTTTAAGTCAAAAATTACTTAAATAATCTTGAACTACTGAATAATTTTGAAGTAATTTTTAAGTAATTCATTTATGGTGAATTTACTAATGCAAGGAGAGAAATTGAAATACTTACTATAGTAATTGTAATACTCATTTACATAATTAAGCAATTAAAAAATTCAAAATGACAATATAAGTTAAACCTAAGTAAAATGAAGTAAAACTAAGTATTTAACTTTAAGTAATTTTTATACCTGGGAAATACTCAAGTAATTCATTTTTAAGAGTGTAGGTATGTAAATATTGTTGCTACCAGATCCTAATGAGGCGTCCTAGGAATTTCTTACCGTGGACTATATTAGTACATAATCATTCAAGGGTCAGTTGTATAAGGGCAATACAAATGGGACCAATATATGTTCCACTCCGATGTCATAAACGATGACTATCACGATCGGTAGGCCTATGTATACACGCGTGTATATGCTATTAATCAGTTAATTAAAATGATATACAATATATACAATGTGTCAGGTTATATTACATTTACCTGGATCAATTCTTTATTCCAGCTGAGCCCCTGCATTATGATCACATAACATGTGACAAACTAACAATACTCCACATATAATAGTCTAATAAATACTGAGGTTGTTTGTATACTTTTTTTTTTATTTCTCACTCACTTTAATATTGAATCATGCACTTGAATGTGTTCGTTTGATATTGAACTTGTATTATTGAATTTTAGGAACCAGCGACAACCATATAGATTCGACAATAGCTGTCAAATATGGAGGAGAAGAACGTAAGTATTCTATCAAGAGGTTTGACTTGCTGCTTTTATTCTTCATTTTATGAGTCAACAACACATGCGAGGATTCATATTTGAGGAAGTCAAGACAACATTTGTACTCTACAGGTGCGATATACCAGGTTCAGAGATTAGTGATCGTACAACTTACCAGGTTCAGAAATCAGTGATCAATACACTGATAAACCCATGTTCAAAGTTAAGAGATCGTGCAATGTACCTATGTTCAGAGATTAGTGATCGTGCAATGCATTTAGGTTCAGAGATTAGTAATCGTGCAATATACCTAGGTTCAGAGTTAAGAGATCGTGCAATGTACCTAGATTCAGAGATTAGTGATCGTACAATATACCACGGTTCAGAAAGTAGCGATCGTGCAATATACTAGTACTTAGGTTCAGAAATTAGTGATCGTGCAATATACCTAGGTTCAGAAATTAGTGATCGTGCAATATCAATAGGTTCAGAGATTAGTGATCGTGCAATGCATTAAGGTTCAGAGATTAGTAATCGTGCAATGTACCTAGATTCAGAGATTAGTGATCGTGCAATATACGGAGGCAGGGGCGTCCCCGGGATTTTTCCAAAAAGGGTCCCCTCTACATCTGAAACAGCAAAATTTGCATCTGAAACCTAGCTTCTCCACCTCTTCGCGAGCGCACAGTTCTTGCTTCCTTCGAGTCGCCTTCTCTTCAACATCGTGAACGAAATCAACGGGGACTGGCTCAAAAAGGGGGATGTTATCGCACCAAGCGCATCCCCCCTTCGGATGCCAATGTGAATAAAATAACTAATTAGAAAACATCCCAGGAAAACTTTGTACCAACGGAAAAAATTGAAAATGTTATGGAGTCTGTATTGCAACTTTTGAACTATCACGGCTTACTCTTTTTATTGGAACATATGTATTTGCCGTTTTTTGAATTCACTGGGCCGTATATTTTGATATGCTTTACGTAAGAAATAGTTCACGTTTAGTAAGGTCAAATGTTCCTCCCGAGCTCGTGCTTAATATTTCTTGCTCTTTCTCAAACGTATCATTTTTGTATTGGATGTTGGTCACTGTTTTTCTATATATTTTCAAACCCAATTTTCTGTCTCCTTATAGATGTCGACGCTACCCTCAGAACAGGCAGGATACGGGTATGAACAGCCCCCAAATTACAACCAATCAAACGTTACCATACAGCAGCCAGGGGCTCACCCCCCAGTTCCAAATCCTCAAGCGGCTATGTCCCACACCACAGTTGTACAGTCTCAACCAGGACGAGGAGGGATGAACCCCAATGTTGTTACAACTGGCGGAGGAATACATCAGACAACTATTGTTAACACGCACACTAAGAGAAATTGGTCATCCGGTATATGCTCATGCTTCGATGATTTGGGAAGCTGTAAGTATCTTTTATGTTATTACACTTACCACCCATCGAAGCTTTCCACTGGGTCTAGAGGGGTAGGAACAATTGGATTATTGGAACCTTGTAAATCAAGATGCTTACCAGTGCCCTTTTAGCCAGGATCATCAAAATAATTAAAAAGGCGTCTGGCGCTTTATCAGTCATATTTTTTGCTATTTTCTCTATTACTGATCATCTCTCTAAACATAATGCCGTACAATGTCTGACCAACTGGCGTAAATTCCAAAGAATTCTGGAATGGTTGGAAAGTTAGAAAGGATTCTATAGTAATAAATTGAAGTCATGAATATGATAGAACCATTATCAATGATTAAATGTGTTCAACAAGAGAATGTGAGACATGAAATAAAATGATATTGTTAGTTAAGTTTAGGAATGCATCATTTTTAAAATTTCATGAAATATATCGATTAATAGAATGAAATTATAGCCATTTTGTTATAGAATTAGAGATAATCGACTTTAGATTCAGAGTTCCCTCCTCAATTCAAAATTAGGGGTAACACATAAAACAATGAACTTGAAGTTGTAAGATTACTAATACGTTGTAGTAATTATGTTACGATTATAACTCTTAGCCTATCTCAATCAAGGGAAAGATCAATACCCGGTGATTTCAGCGGGAAGTGGCGTTTCGTTCAGTGGATGAGCTGCGCGCGCACGCATAAATGCGATTCTCAATCACCCTATATGTAAAACATCGTATTAAACTTAGCCTATGCATACCAAAGTAATATCAGATGTGGATATAATGTGTGTTTATTGTGTTACGCGGTAAACACGACACTAAAATATGTCATATTCCGCAACGAATATGGCATATTCACTTGTGGTGTATGACAGATTCACCTGCGGTATATGGCATACACACTAACCAATGAGAACGTGATACGGAAGTACGAAATTGTCGATTGCATCGATTGAACGAACAAGTATAACGTTATAGATTATTATAATGATTACTGAATCAAAAGTACTGTGTATCGAATATATTAACTAAGCAGAAGTATCAGTCACCAATCTCGCGTAATAAACTTATTCAATCAATCCAGGATTGATATATTAGTACTCGACGCACTAACTATATTGGTTTTGCATTAGAGTCGATTCTCGCAACCAATCAAATCAAGGCTTTCTTTATCACGTTTTCACCTGCGGTATTTGTCATATTCACCTGCGGTATATGGCATATTCTGCAAGTGAGTATGACATATTCCGCAGGTGAGTATCGGGTACTCACTGAAATCAATGTATCGCATATTCACTGCGGAATATCGCATACTCACCTGCGGAATATGCCATATACCGCAGGTGAGTATGTCATAATCACATGTATCACAAAAACCGCGCAACCATGAATGTATGCCATATACCGCGTAACATATTTAGCAAAATAGTTACATCATATCCTTAATTTCACTAGACTAATATTTGATGAGGGGTAAAAATCGTCTGAAAATCATAGGGTCACACTTATGCGTTTGTAATACAATGTTTTTAACCATTGTTAGTTTTCTTTTTAAATTTTCATCTGATTTCCACTATTTATTTACAATATTTATAGAACCTCCAAGATAAAGTACCACGCACCTTTTTCTTTACTATTTCGAAAGTCCTTTGAACCATTTTAAGGGAAAGTGATTATACCTAATTATACCTCTCAGATCTTTTCTAGCAATCGATAGATTGAATGTGTGTAGAGAAATTAATTGTTTTATTGCAGCATAGAGTTTTATGGTTATACCATTACATGTATATGTTTTGTTGTGTTCTACATGTACCTTATCTTGTACCATTTGTTTTCACTTGACTTGGCCTCTTAAAGAGCTAAACTCTACACTCAGCAGACTCATAGCCAGCTTTTGCAGAGGGGGCTCATTTTTTAAAAAATGGGGCTCAAATCACTTGAAAAGTGCTAAAAATGGTAAAAAACTGCATGATGTTGAAAGAAGTCTTGGCCAGAAGTAACCCATCTGGATACTGGGCTGGGATGAAATACATTAGACTCTGTTTTGCATCACGTTTGAACAATTGTAAAGGAGGTGTCAGAAAAACGAACAAGACAAAATAGGAACTCTTGAACAACATGTAATACAAACTGTCCTCGAACACTGGGAAACAATGACCTACAATTTCCAAAGAAGAAGACCTGAAAGTTAAAAACACAGTTCAGCAGTTAGAAAAGAAATATGTGTGGGACCCCAGCATTCATATACTGCAATTAACGAAATAACTTGAAAGTTGTTTACCCCGCACCCAAGATATAGTTAAAAACTTAAGACGAAGGCTGTATTTTGGACATGATTTTGACCGCGACCATGATTTTAATCCCCAAAAATTACCGAGATTGTAGTTAGATTGAATGATACTCGCGGTTAAAACAGAAATATTACGCAAGATCGTGTCAAAGTCACTTGGTCTATACAAAAATGCACCCTAAGAAAACTTAAAGAAAAACGAATGCAAAGTGTAAAGTTGCTTAATATATAAGGGTTATGTACTGGGAGGTTTTGGATACAGGTTTTATCCCAAGGGAAATATGTGTATATCCCGAGGGACCGCAGGGACCGAGGGATATACACATATTTCCCGAGGGATAAACCCTGTATCCAAAACCGACCGTACATAACAGATGTATTTCATACCTACTGATGTTCTAGGTACGTCATATACCCTATAAAGTTCCAAAATTCAAAAATATACTTAAGATACGCATTTTCTTGGTGTTATTTTAAGTTTGTGAGATTTTCAAACTCATATAACTCATATTTTGAAAAATAAAATTTGAAAAAAAAAATTTTGGGAAAAATAGGGAAATTTTTTTTTGAAAAAATGTGAGTTTTTTTGAAAATTTTGGGAAAAATTCAAAAAAAAATTGCCCAAAAATGTGAAAAAAATTCAAAAAAAAATTGAAAAAATTGTGAAAAAAAATTTCAAGAGCGGGACCGGGATGGATACAGCGTGTATCCATCCCGCCCCGGGCCTTGGCTAGATACAGTATATATTCCCGCTCGTTATGTACCTAGAACCTCAGTAGGTATGAAATACTGGTGTTTATTTACCCTGGTAAGTGCAATATTGTCAATGCTTGGCTACTATCCCGGTGGTTTACGCTGTATAAATATTAAACAGCACTTCCCATGTCACGATGACATCCAAGTTATTAGAATACATTCAGACATCGATCCGTGTATAAACAGAACCCACAACAGTAAAATGTTATTCTAAAATGGCAAATGAAATGGACTTCGCATAAAATTCTTATACCAAGCGCCCCTCCTTATTTTAACTCTCGCTTCTGGCTATACCCCTTACAGGCCCGTAGCCAGAGGGGGAGCTGGGGGAGCGGAAGCTCCCCCCCCTGGCCCCCCCTGGGCAGAAATTCTTTCAAAATCATGCAGTTTTTCACCATTCTGAGAATTTTTCGTATGATTTTTAGCCAAAATTGTGAAAAAGCTCTCCCCCTGGAAAAAAGCTCCCCCCCCTGGTAAAAGCTGGCTACGGGCATGCCTTACCATTTCTCCAATTTAGTATTGCTACATTCAAGCACGATGGCAGTGCAATCATTCTGTTTTACCTATCTTCTATTTTAAAAAGTTCTACCGCTGCTGCCATCTTTATATCGCTCTAAACCTCTATTTTATATAAACAATGTGTTTTTGTGGTTTCAGGCTGTTTTGCCACATGGTGTCCAGCGATAATGGACTGTGTCCTTGCGGATGAGATGGGAGAAAGCTTCTGCGTGCCCGTCTGCGTTCCTGGTGGCACAATTCTCATAAGGCAGAAATTACGTCTCGAGAATAACATTCAGGTGCGTAAGAGGGGGGGGGGGTATCCAAAGTGTTATATACAGTCGTTGAACCTATATCCATTGTGGGATCCACAGTATATATTATCCTTTTGAATAGAGATACTGAGTCTCTTTGGATAAAGACTGAAAAATCATGATGACCAATCTCCATCTAAAGAAGATGAAACTCTTTGACGTTGTCATAAAGATAGTAGGTTCACCTATGAATCTTAGTGTACTCCCCCAGGGTGTTTTACTGAGTTGCTGCAGTAAGGGGATGGTCAATTGACCCTGTTTCACTTGAATGGTTCCCGTGACATGGCACTTGAATTAATCTTAAAACTATAGTCTAATATAAGGACTTGAATATAAAATATATAAATGTGTGATGACTGCTGTAACTATACAGCTACACTACAAATGTAGAAACGTTTGTGTTTATGGCTGTGTACAACTACAAATGTAGCAACGTTTGTATTATGTTACAGGGGACGATGTGTGGTGGCTGCATTATGGATGTATATAATTGCAAATATAGCAACGTTTGTGTTCATATTACAGGGGATGATGTATACATTATATTACAGGGGTCGGTGTGTGATGACTGCGTTATGGCTGTGTACAACTACAAATGTAGCAACGTTTGTGTTTATATTACAGGTGTCGATGTGTGGTGGCTGCATTATGGATGTATATAACTGCAAATATAGCAACGTTTGTGTTCATATTACAGGGGACGATGTATACATTATATTACAGGGGTCGGTGTGTGATGAATGCGTTATGGCTGTGTACAACTACAAATGTAGCAACGTTTGTGTTTATATTACAGGGGACGATGTGTGATGACTGCATTATGGCTGTTTATAACTACAAATGTAGCAACGTTTGTGTTTATATTACAGGGTTCGGTGTGTGATGACTGCATTATGGCTGTTTATAACTACAAATGTAGCAACGTTTGTGTTTATATTACAGGGTTCGATGTGTGATGACTGCATTATGGCTGTTTATAGCTTCAAATGTAGCAACGTTTGTGTTCATATTACAGGGTTCGGTGTGTGATGACTGCATTATGGCTGTTTATAACTACAAATGTAGCAACGTTTGTGTTCATATTACAGGGTTCGGTGTGTGATGACTGCATTATGGCTGTTTATAACTACAAATGTAGCAACGTTTGTGTTTATATTACAGGGGTGTGTTGTGTGATGACTGCATTATGGCTGTTTATAACTACAAATGTAGCAACGTTTGTGTTTATATTACAGGGTTCGATGTGTGATGACTGCATTATGGCTGTTTATAGCTACAAATGTAGCAACGTCTGTGTTTATATTACAGGGGTGTGTTGTGTGATGACTGCATTATGGCTGTTTATAACTACAAATGTAGCAACGTTTGTGTTCATATTACAGGGTTCGATGTGTGATGACTGCATTATGGCTGTTTATAGCTACAAATGTAGCAACGTTTGTGTTTATATTACAGGGGTGTGTTGTGTGATGACTGCATTATGGCTGTTTATAACTACAAATGTAGCAACGTTTGTGTTCATATTACAGGGGTCGGTGTGTTATGACTGCATTATGGCTGCTTATAACTACAAATGTAGCAACGTTTGTGTATATATTACAGGGATTGGTGTGTGATGACAGCATTATGGCTGTATACAACTACAAATGTAGCAACGTTTGTGTTCATATTACAGGGGTCGGTGTGTGATGACTGCATTATGGCTGTTTATAACTACAAATGTAGCAACGTTTGTGTTTATATTACAGGGTTCGGTGTATGATGACTGCATTATGGCTGTTTATAACTACAAATGTAGCAACGTTTGTGTTTATATTACAGGGTTCGGTGTATGATGACTGCATTATGGCTGTTTATAGCTTCAAATGTAGCAACGTTTGTGTTCATATTACAGGGTTCGGTGTATGATGACTGCATTATGGCTCTTTATAGCTACAAATGTAGCAACGTTTGTGTTTATATTACAGGGTTCGGTGTATGATGAATGCGTTATGGCTGTGTACAACTACAAATGTAGCAACGTTTGTGTTCATATTACAGGGGTCGGTGTGTGATGACTGCATTATGGCTGTTTATAACTACAAATGTAGCAACGTTTGTGTTTATATTACAGGGGTGTGTTGTGTGATGACTGCATTATGGCTGTTTATAACTACAAATGTAGCAACGTTTGTGTTCATATTACAGGGGTCGGTGTGTTATGACTGCATTATGGCTGCTTATAACTACAAATGTAGCAACGTTTGTGTTTATATTACAGGGATTGGTGTGTGATGACAGCATTATGGCTGTATACAACTACAAATGTAGCAACGTTTGTGTTCATATTACAGGGGTCGGTGTGTGATGACTGCATTATGGCTGTATACAACTACAAATGTAGCAACGTTTGTGTTCATATTACAGGGGTCGGTGTGTGATGACTGCATTATGGCTGTATACAACTACAAATGTAGCAACGTTTGTGTTCATATTACAGGGGTCGGTGTGTGATGACTGCATTATGGCTGTATACAACTACAAATGTAGCAACGTTTATATTACAGGGGTCGGTGTGTGATGACTGCATTATGGCCGCATGTTGTTACCAATGTCACCTTTGCCAAATGAAGAGAGAGATCAAATACATACAATGCGCACAGCAACAGATGACCGTCATTCAGACCGGTTACTAAACAAAGGCAGTTATCATAAAAACAATGCCAAAGATCTTTTACTCTGGGTCTGATGATCACATGATTCGTCTACAACAGTTAAACTGTGGGGGTCCTTGTCGAGGGGAGCAAGATGAAATCTGATGACATGTTAATGAAACGCTAGAAAAAAAATCATTAACGATATATTTTAATGATATTCAATAGTTGATATTAGTTATATGATCATTGACTATATGTAAGTTACAAAGAAAGTGCTTTTAGAAAGTATCACAAAGTACTATCTGTATCTCTGAAAATTGTAGGTACCTGTTATATTTTAGTAAAAAGTTCAAGATTAATTTACAGACCTTTACCAATAGGGTTTCGAAACAGTATATCCTGTATTCACCTTTTAGTGAGGGCAATAATTATACATTTATAACATGTACAACAGTAATTACAATTCAGGTCCATTTTACTGATGTCCGCGAGATATATATTCTTGTACACTAAAGTAGCCTAGATAAAATACTGGCGATGACACTGTTACCATAATAAACACGGGGTACCATCGAATAATTTTGGCAACGTACCGGAGAACGACATTTTACTAAGAAATGGCAATAATGTAGCACAATATATTTTTTAACTAGAGTTCTATTTTGATTTTGACAAAAGTAAGTATTCCATGCAATAACTATTTCATTCATGAGTTTGTAGGAATTCTGTTGGAACCCAGTTCTGATCAAGTACGAAGTTATTGAAATCGGCGCAGACGAACTTTACTCCGAAAGATGGTTTTTCGATTATAACTTTTCACAACATTTAAGTATAAACTTTTAAAAAAAAGTACAGAATAGTCCTTATACATTTGAATAATTCTGTTATTTCTGATTCACACGACTCTGATTTGTTTAATTAAAAAAAGTTTTAAAAATATTACTTAGGAACGTAACCGGAGCTGGGAACGTAACCGGAGCAGATCAGTTGAATTATTTAATCAAAAAAATTAAAATATATGATTTAAAGCACATATACTAATTTAAAAACATACGGGATTGTTCGAATGCGTATTTATTACATTTTATTTAAAGAAAAAAATATATCCATTGTGAAAAATTAAATTTGGTATTTACCATGCATAAGTGCACTTACCTTAGAAAGGCTATCAAACATAGAACAATCATTGTATGGAGAATGAAGTGATTAAATGTAGTAAGCAAATAATTCCATTTGATTTCACCCATTGTATTTGTTCAGCGAACTATTAGAACCCACTCTGTTATACTAATTTCGTATATATATACTGTTTATACATACATGTATTATACTTCTAAGACAACTTCTCTTTTTCAGGGGAAATAAAAGCATTTAAATGCTAGATTATTAAAAAAGTTAGGATACAACGAACTGTATATAGCGTAGGTGTGTTAAGTACTTGTCATGTGCTCGACCAAATCGAATCAACATATGCTTTCTGAAATTCTTCACCTAACCCCCCCCCCCTCCATACAAACGTAAGATGTTTGAGTGAGTGCCCGTTTATTGTTTTATGCAAAACCAGTTGTTATCCATCTTTGTTTCGATAAACCTAGGCGTGGGTCATTAAGCAAGTAAGAAAGTGAATGATTTTTTCTAGTTAAACTACAGAACATTGCTTTTCAGTCGTTAATAGAGAGTGTTCTATAATTCTATCACACCAAGTAAGCTGACATATGTGTTTGTAAATAATATATATGCTTTAAATCATATATTTTATTTTTTTAAATTATATAATTCAACTGATCTGCTCCGGTTACGTTCCCAGCTCCGGTTACGTTCCTAAGTAATATTTTTAAAACTTTTTTTTAATTAAACAAATCAGAGTCGTGTGAATCAGAAATAACAGAATTATTCAATAGTAAAGGGACTATTCTGTACTTTTTTCAAAAGTCTATACTTACATGTTGTAAAAAGTTATAATCGAAAATCCATCTTTCGGAGTAAAGTCCGTCTGCACCGATTTCAATAACTTCGTACTTGATCAGAACTGGGTTCCAACAGAATTCCTACAAACTCATGAATGAAATAGTTATTGCATGGAATACTTACTTTTGTCAAAATCAAAATAGAACTCTAGTTAAAAAATATATTGTGCTACATTATTGCCATTTCTTAGTAAAATGTCGTTCTCCGGTACGTTGCCAAAATTATTCGATGGTACCCCGTGATAAAGAGATTTAAATGATTGCTTCATATGCAGACAATTTTTTGTAAATAAGTTATATATCTGTTCAAGGTGTTTCCTTTTTAAACTGCCGTATGCTGTTGGATAAGACTATACACAACTACAAATGTTGAAAAGTTTGTTACAATTCAAAACTTAAAGCTATTATTTCTTTTTACATGTACATTTTTATAAAAAATACATTTCTTTGCTCCTAGCTGCATAACACTTTTTTAAAGTTCAAAATGGCAGTTCATATAATTTTTTAAATGTAGTACAAACTTTAGAAAATCATCGTTCTAACGCTGTCCTAACTACATGTATATTATATCACAGTTACTTAGTTTGCACAAAGCTATCTCTTGGGAGATCTAAAAGATGGCTATGTGCAAATATAGTAATATCACAGTTTGCTAGTACTGTGTATATAATAAGGTAGATACCAATGCTTTTTGAGACTCAACTTTTTGGCAATTAAAAGTCCCTGCCTGCATTTAGTAGTCATATATTATCATGTGCATAATTTTGAAACCATATCCTTATTATTTCACAAACCCTTTGTTGATTCTGCAATAGTTTCCAATTTGTAAACAGCATTTAGCCTTTTTAATTGGGAACTTTTTTGAAATTTCCATAATGGCTGCCATGTGATTCCAGAATTAACATGAGTGTGACGTGACATCACAGTTGCTCGTTCCTAGGTAACAACAATATCACAAAATTTGCTCGTTTCTAGGTAGCAACAACATTTTTGATTAAAATGGCACAGAATTGCCATGATTAGCACCCTTAAAATCCGATTTTCAAAGAATATATTTGGAGAAACAATAAAAGGTAAGCGGAATAAATTAGAAGATGGTTTCAAGTTACCACAGAAGTCAATTTGAAACTCAAGAATGCTTCTTTGACTCATAATCACAAAAAAGTCGAGTGACTTTTTAGATGTCGAAAATCTTAGTATAGTATTCATGTAGCTAAAAGTAGCATTACAATTAGGTGCTTCAATGTTATATGTAAATTCCTGTATATAATGCCAAGAATTATTTTTGAAGATGATATTAGATCTTTATAACTACACCTACGCTTCCAAAAGAGGGATTTCAGTCATATATAACTTATGTCTATGCGTATAGCTAAACGTTATAAGTATAAGTGAATTGAGATTTTGCGTTTTGCAAATAGATGTACTTAAATACATGTATGTATAGAAATGTATCTTATCAATCAATTCAAATATTCCTCTCACCGCGAAAATAAAGTTTATAGCCTACGTGAGTTACGAAATCTCTCTATTTTTGACTATGTAACACCTATATTGATAAAAAAATAAAACAGACAAGTTTTCTCTTCATTTGTGACATTGTGTGTTTTGTTAGTCTTCAAAACAGACAGTAGATTTAAGCCTCATCTAGATGTTACCCAGCAAGTCGCACTACACTTCAGCACAGGTTGACATCAATCGTTTAGGCTGCTTTGCATTTCCCTGTAAATATTATATTATTTTAATGATATAATACGAGGGATACCCAAAAATTCATAGATGAACCAATCTTCATGATAAGATGAACTTCTATTGGTTCATTTTTTACAAAAATATAAGTTCATCCGTGAATTATGAATAATGGGGTATTATCTCTTCATCGATGAATGATCGTAAAGCAAAAATGGCAATATCAGAGCAACATAAGACAAATCACTGTACATCGACTTTTGTGATCTCAAACCTTACCATTTGTGCTTTCTCAAAACTCCCACAAAAATACTCTAAATTACCACAATTCTATTATGTGCAAGTGGAGTGCCAGAAGTTTTATACAATAATATAAATATCACTGGTCCCCAACTGGTTATGATAAACAAATGGTGACCAGTGAATATATTAGATAAAATATAACCCAATATAGTCATGCGTCTATTTTAAATCACGTGTATTAGCGCGTTAGCTTACGATGGATGATCCATGAATAGTACTAGTAGGCTTAAATATTAGTATTATTTCACGGTCACCCCTCGTATATGCAGCTAACACCAACATAATGATAGCACTGGTATATTTACCCGTTATGGAAAGTGAATCCTTAGAATCACAAGTGAATCCTTTACGACAAGGACAGTCGACATGTACTGGTTTGACGTTATAGTCCACGTCGTTGTTAGCAACGACACATCCTGTAAATTAAACATACTTGCTTTAATATTTTTCCCAACACGAATTTAAATGGAGAGTAGGACCATAATTTGATAGGACCTCCTACCCTTTTACACTTTCTAGATCTTACTCTTATACATGTCTCATCTAGTTACTCTGGTTACTCATCTAGTAACCAGTACACTTGGGGAGTTTTTAAACATTTTTAACATATTCCTGGGCCCCAGCAAGTGAATATGCCATTGATGAGACCCATCCAAGAGAACATCATATACGCATGCGCATTTTTTTGTCAAGAAGCGCAACCTTTAATCACCCTGGACTTCTATATGGCTTTCACATAGTTTCTAACCTTCAGAGTCGTCTTTAAGAGGCTTACAAACACCTTCACTTCCAGTGTCATCTGTCAATACACAACAATCTCCAACATTTGGACAGTCTTGGGGCGATGAGCAGCGCTGTACCCCAGTCTGTAAGTTTCAAATTAGAGGTATCTTTCTATATGATTTTTCTTAATCAGCATATGGTTCAATTTGAAAATAGGCGTTACCAAATACTTTTTTTTATTAATCATTTTTATTTCAAGTTCATATATTATAACATTTAATTTCATACAATGAAAATTCAACAAGGTTAATCAATTTAACATTTGTGTTGAACTTCGAAGTAAATATACCATACACTTATATGCAATACAAATTTGTTACAATTATTCGTAACTATTCATATATAAACAAAAAGGAAAAAGTACAATTAAAGCTGATATTGGAATGCTTTACAAAAAAAGGTGTGCAGTGGTGTAAATTATGGGATGGTGAAATATACATGTTAGTCAATCTTGGTTGCTTGTAGGAATTTTAAAGTTGCTTTCAGCAGAAGTGTATTATCTTCATTACTAAGTTCACTGTTACCATGCAAGAGCATATTTACTTTGCTAACAGAGTTAGCATCTAAGAATTTTTCTAAACAACCAATAATATGGAGATCTATAAGTAGTTGGATTCTATCATTTACAAATTGGGGGCATTTGAGGAAAACATGAGTAGGGGTTTCATTTTCATGACCACAGTTACAGGCTGGTGAGTCAATGTTTGTAAAGTGATGAGCAAATAATTGACTTTTTAGAAATAGGTCCACTTTTAACCTGTTAAATATAATTTCAGTTTTTCTAGTGATATCAAGTGATGCTATTATATTTATACATTTTTCATTCCCGAAATGCTTTCTAAGTTTGCCTTTAAAAGTTGATATTCTATTGCAATTTCTTAAATCATTAGGCAGACCATTCCATTCTTCAATCGCAACAAAATATGTAGTTTTTCTAAATGAAATGCTGATATTTAGAGGCACAATATACTCTCTGACAGCCCTTAGAATTCTATTTGGTTCATGTAAGTATTTATTAAATAATTCAGTGACATATGAAGCTGATAAATTGATTCTACTTTTAAATAGAAATGAGCAAAGATGGCTTCTTCTTCTCTCAGACAAAGTAATCCAATTTAATGTCTTCAAGACCTTATAGGTGCTTGAACCATGCAGAGCACCGGAAATTAGACAAGCTGCATTATAATGCAGTCTTTCAAGTTTGATGGTAGCTATATTTGGAGCACTATTGTAAATTATATCAGCATAATCAATTTTACTTAGAATAAAAGAATTATATATGGTTTCCAAATGATTCGAACGAAGAATGTGAGTTAATTGTTTAAATGGATTTAAGATTGTCTGTAATTCCTTGGTGAGCTCATTAACATGTTCCTTGAAATTAAGCTTTTGATCTAAAATAACACCAAGGTGTTTATGACTAATAGTTTTAGGAATGGGGTCACCTCCCAAATAGAGTATAGGTTCATTAACAGGGTTAGTTAAAGGTGATGTAAAAGTCAGGTCAGCACTTTTTGATGCCTTAAATTTCATTTGCCAGGTATCAGCCCAGGTTTTAATTGTATTTAGGTCAATTTGCAGATTTTGAGAGAGTAAAGGGCTTTTCTTAGAGTAAGGAAGGAAGATTGATGTATCATCTGCATAAATGAAAGTCTTACAATTTAGATTATCAGGTAGATCATTTATATATATTAAAAACATAAGCGGCCCTAATACACTGCCTTGAGGCACACCAGCATTGATAAAATCAGGTTCTGACCATTTCGAGAAAGAATTATTTACTTTAACCAAATACTTGGAGGGCAATTTTTTATTGAGGGCCCAAAAAGCTTTAGAATATGATTGAATCGTCTCTTGTTTTTGTCAGCTGATTTTAATTTTTAAAATATCACCAGCAGACACTAGGGAATATTTATTGTGCGAGTATACTCGCCACCAAACACCAGAAAATATCAATTGTGCGAGTGTACTCGCCAGCAAACTCCAAAAAATGTCAATTGTGTGAGTATACTTGTCAGCAGATGGCAGGGGATACCGATTGTGCGAATATACACATCAACAAACACCAGGGTATGCCAATTGTGCGAGTATACTTGCCACCAAACACCAGGAAATGTCTAGAACATAGAACATGGTCAAAATGTTCTCGTGGTCGATACGTTCTACAATTAGAACGAGTGACAACGTACTAAATACGAGCGGGACGTACTACGAACGGAACCGTCGTACTTCAATCCTACTAGGGACGTTTTAACAACGATTTGAATTGTCTGATGACGTATTGAGAACGAGGTAGAACTGATTGCTTTTTACAAAGTGTTTTGGGTTAAAGTGAAAACACTAGTTGTAAATTCATTGAATTTTGGTTTCCAATCTGGTCAGTTATCAACTAGTCAGAGACAAGGGATAATCATACTTTTACTTAAAGGGAATAATTTACCAAGAAACAAGCTAAAATCATTTCGTCCAATATCTTTAACATGCTCAGATTATAAGATTGGGGCTACAGTTCTTGCAAACAGATTACAAGTGGTCATTAAAAAGTTAGTAAATAGTGATCAAAATGCATACCTTAAAGATAGAGGAATACACCTTAACCTGAGATTAATAGATGATGTCATGAACTTTATATATAATGATGACCAAGAAGGAATTATTGCAGCACTGGATTACAGCCGGGCTTTTGATTCAATTTCTAAAAAGTTTGTATTTAGAGTTTTGGAAAAGTTCAATTTTGGGCCAGAATTTCAAAAATGGATAAAAGTTTTTAACAAAAATACAAAGTCCATGGTTTCTAATAATGGAGTTTTCACAAATTCTTTTAATCTAAATCAAGGATTGAGACAAGGTTGCCCTTTGAGTTCTCTGATTTTTATTATATCAACAGAAGTGTTTGCTTGCAAAATACGTCAAGATAATAACGTTGAAGGCATCAAGATAAACAACACCGAAATCAAATTGACTAGTTATGCAGATGACACAACGATTTTTATTAAAAATATTAAATCCTTGGAAAATATACTGATTCATTCAAATAATTTCTATAAAACTTCTGGACTAAAACTAAATATGATTAAAACAAAAGCAATGTGGCTTGGAAAAAATAAGAATAATGTTAATGCTCCATTGGGAATTGATTGGCAAATTGGAAAATCAGCAAAAATTAAAATACTAGGTGCTTATTTCTCTAACCATAAATCAGCACATTTGTTAGATGAAAATTGGAGAGATAAAATAGATAAGATGGAGTGCATTATGAAATGCTGGGACAAAAGAAAATTATCTTTAGCTGGTAAAGTGTGTGTGTTAAAAAGTCTCATTTCATCACAAATTTTACACATGTTAATGACATTCAAATGTCCAGATAACTATTTAAAAGAGCTCAATACAAAAATGTACACATTTTTATGGAAAAAATCAGGTAAGGGCTCAGAAAAGATTAAACGAAAAGTATTACGGCAATCATACAAAGATGGTGGAATAAATATGGTAGATGCTTTTTTAAGTCAGGAATCTCTCATTCTCACTTGGGTTAAAAGGTTTATGAATGGTGAAAATTCAATGTGGAAAGGTGTTAGTAAAATAATTTTAGCCAAAACAGGTCATGATTTTGATATTTTTATATGTAACTCAGATCTGAAAGATCTAAAACCTCAAATTAACCTAGATATGCTCCCAGAATTTTACTCCTTTCTATTAAAGACATGGTTCAAATATCGAGAGTATGATGAAGAAATCTGTAAATCAGATTTATTATGGAATAATCGATGCATTGTGTTCAAACATAAACAAATGTATTTTAAACAATGGAAGGATGCAGGTATCAATTATGTTGCTGACATACTGGATACAAATAAACATGTTAAGTCATTAGAATTTTTCAAACAAAAAATGCAAAATAATGCAGCCATTGTTCTGGAATACAATGTAATTCGCAATGCAATGATTAATAAGAAAATGGGTATGAATAGATCAAAAGGTGAGAAGATGTACAATAATGTAAAGATAAAAAACCTAACTTCAAAGGATGTAAGGAAAATGATTCTAAAGAAAGACCAAGTTGTGCCTATTTGCATTGAAAGGTGGAAACATGTTTATCCAGATTTAAATTGGAAAAAAAATTGGCAGTTAATTCAAACTCTCAAAGAGCCACGACTTAAGAGCATTCAATATAAGATTTTACATAATATTTACCCAACTAATACTCACCTTTTCAAATGGAAAATTGAAGGAGTTGCCTCAAAGAATTGTACATATTGTAATGAGGAAGATTCATATGCACACTTTTTCATTTCTTGCAAAAGAGTAAAGTCTTTATGGAATGAAGTAGAGTGCAAACTAAATGCTAGATTTGGGCACAGAATTAGACTAGGACACAAACACATTTTATTCAAGTATGAATGTAAAACAAAAAAGGAAGAAGACTACATCAACTATATCATTGTTATTGCTAAGAATTGTATAAGTAAGTACAAATATGGGGATTATCCCAATTTACTGTGCTTGTTTGATCAAGAATGTAATATTAGAAATGTATAAAATTATGTACAATGATTGGAGAAAATAAATCGCAATAAAAAAAAAATAAAAAAAAAAAAAAAAAAAAAAAAAAAAAAAGAACTGATTGCAATCGGGATTAAGAACGTATTTAACTGCATATGAACGAGTTAGCAAAAATATAGCTATCACACCAAACAAGTTGCCACTGCGTTCTTCAAAACTGATTTTAAACTGTGTGCGAACGGAATGAACGTAGCTGCAACTTTCTAAGGTCTATTTACGAACTTCATGAACGTTCTCAGACGGGAACGTGATTTTAGAATTTTGAATCGATTCCGACGTGGTGCGACCTGAACGAACTACGAATGAGATGGACGTATTGAAGACTGTTTATGAACGAAGAAGCTAATTATTTTAGACATATTTCCCGACCACAGCCAGATTGAGCCCGTTTTACGACTTTTTCGGAGGACTGGCAAGAACGGGTAAGAACTAGTTTGGTGTGATTAGGGGGGTGACAAGGATTTAAGACACCAGTCATACCTGTGTCGTCTTGGAACTCTGTTGTCTTCTTTTAACCTTGCATTTACCTATAAATGTTGGTATCATTTTAATAATCAATTCATTTATGTTTGATTAAATAACAATAAGAGTAAAAATAACTCGCAAGCTAACCATGTGGATTTAAATATAACCGAAAGAATTCCATAGAGTAAAATTAAAGCTGTGAAGCATTATGGCTAGTAAAAGAACGAACATATAGCTTACCCATTTTGGCAAGTGGATCGTCAGACGAACAAGTGAATCCTTCACGGCATGGGCAATCGATGTACACTGATTTGACATTATAGTCCACATCGTTATTAGCCACGAGACAATCTGTAATATACTAGCTTTAATTTAATTCTAAACTGTCTTGTATTTTAGAGGTATTTTAAAACTTGTAAGCAAATGAAGCTAGGCGGAGTTAGTCCCATTCGAAATAGGGGAACAAATTCTTCCGATATTGATAAACCCTCAATTTCAGCTTCGAACATGTATGAAATGACGTGTTGATAAGTAAAATGTTTTTTGTTAGGACAAGGATTACGTGAGAATTTGGAAAAAATGTGCAAGATGGATGTTTATTTTGGCCACACTGTGTATAAGCAAAAGTCTCCATAGCTACCTTCAGAGTCGTACTTGAGCGCCTTACAAACACCGGCTCCAGTATCATCTGTCAATACGCAGCAATCCCCGACATATGGACAATCCTGGGGCAACGAACAGAGCTGTATATCGGACTAAACCCATACAAATAAAAAAATGAATAAGTGAATAAAAGGTGTTTTGGTCTATAATATATTTTGTTTGCATCGTAGCCTGCAAGTGTAATGGGTATTTAGGCCTATACTGTTAATAGTTTGGATTGCAAATTGTAAATTTAAGAGGTGGTTAGGCCTATATTGTTATAGTTTGGATTGCAACTTGTAAATTAAATAGGTGGTTAGGCCTATACTGTTATAGTTTGGATTGCAACTTGCAGATTTAAGAGATGGTTAGGCCTATACTGTTAATAGTTTGGATTGCAACTTGTAAATTTAAGAGGTGGTTAGGCCTATGTAAATTGTTTGTACCGTTTCCTGTTAGTTTAGCTCAAAAAATACTTTACTTTTTTCGGCCAGGTTACTTTAGATATTCAGCCTTTTTTATAACTTTGACGTGTCATACCTGCACTGGCGTACCCTTACGCATGCGACTTGGCACCGAACTTTGGCGTGTACGTCGCGCTTCGGGGTCCCCAAACTCAGGACCAGAATCAGACGACTCTCCCGAATCTCTCTTGGCCTACAATGTACAATCTGGTGATAACAGATAATGTATAAGCGTATACGATATTCAAAGAGAGTTATAAAGATCCTAGTAGTAGGCTATTTGTTTTTGAGAAATAAGAGTTTTTACTTACTGTAAAAGAACTTATGAACAGGAAAGTCATAACAAATACATTTGGCGAAGGGCAACCTCATTTTTGATTCATGGTTCTATTTATTGTGAACCAAAAAATTATTATTGTGATAAAATTAGAACACACAGCGTCCGCCTGTTCGTTTGTTCGTCCGTTCGTCCATCCGCGTCCAAGTGTCAATATCCTCCAAAATCAATCAAGTTTTACAATTATCACGCTCCAGTGAAAAGGTGGTCATAGGGCATCAATAATTTGAAACCCCTGCCGATTTCCTTTTTCAATGAAAAAGCCACATAATTTAAAAATGGCCGCAAATTTTGTTCCAGGTTTTGATCATGATTTGCATTTGAATGACCATTTATCTTCTCAAATGTATTACAAATTGATACGATTTTGAATTTCCAACTAAAATCCTTGAATGCCTCAGAATGACGGCCATTTTACACAATGTTTATACATTATGTATAAATAATACACAATGATTATGTATATATAATTATCTATATTATAGATTTATACACATTATACGATTTACTTACGTTCGTATATACCAATGTAGCTGCAAAAAGCAAGACCGACATCAATGGGAGCACCTTCGTTTCCATTTTGACTCAATAAAACAGGTGCCACATGTTGCGCTTTCTCTCCTTTTATATCGCTATTTATTGAAGATCAAATAAAGATCCAAGAAAAATATGTTTTCTTGTTAACTGCGTATTCATTGTGAACAGGAGCTCTAAGTAATTTGTCATAACTCCCTGAGAATTTGAGATCATCACTAAGAACGCAAGGATCTATGTTTGTAGTTGTGTTTATATTCGATATTACCGACTCTTATTATCATTTGATTAATAGCGTTTAACAAAGCTAAGCCCGTGTTGTAAACGTCATTGTGGTAATACCATAGATCCCATAACTCTTTAGATATGTCTAACTATAATCCACGTGTAATACCAAGATCAGGAGGTGATGAATTACAAACAGGCCACTATTCGCCTCATTCTACCGTAATTAAGTTATTCTTGGAGATAACGAACCTATAGATATATAATTACATGTCCTACACCAACAACTATGTAATACATATGTAATATTAAATTTTAAACTGTAATGTGTATTTTTATGATTAATCTATAGTTCAAATAAAGAAACACGAACGGAAAACTGAACGAGAGCGGGTGCTGTCTATTAAGATGAGGAATAAAGTACACAACACCCAAAAGAACAAAGGTATACCATATTCCAAAACTTAAGGCATCAATAGAGACACTTCATAGTGCAACCCTTTAAAAGCCACATCAAGTAAATTTTTAAAAACATGACCAAGTGAAGAAGTAAACAAACATGACATCTACACAAACGGTAAGGTGAAATATGTTTATATAATGCAGAAATGTTCTTCTTCTGACATGGTATTACTTATTGGCGCTAAGGGACCGGGGAGTAAATTAAACAAGGAGACCTCGAGGTTCTGGCAGAAAGTGTTCATATAATTGTCATTGTCAATGTCCCTCTTCTGTCATAGCTTCTTATTCATATCTAATAAAAGACGTGGCCCTGACAGAATGTGTTTATGTAATGTCATTGTCAATGTTCCTCTTCTGTCATAGCTTCTTATTCACATCTAATAAAATACTTGGCCTTAAAGAATGTGTTTATATAATGTCATTGTCAATGTTCCTCTTCCGTCATTGCTTCTAATTTATATCTAAAAAAAGACGTGACCCTGACAGAATGTGTTAATATAATGTCATTGTCTATGTTCCTCTTCTGTCATAGCTTATTCACATCTAATAAAAGACGTGGCCTGACAGAATGTGTTTATATAATGTCATTGTCAATGTTCCTCTTCTGTCATTGCTTCTTATTCACATCTAATAAAAGACGTGACCCTGACAGAATGTGTTAATATAATGTCATTGTCTATGTTCCTCTTCTGTCATATCTTATTCACATCTAATAAAAGACGTGGCCCTGACAGAATGTGTTTATGTTATGTCATTGTCAATGTTCCTCTTCTGTCATAGCTTCTTATTCACATCTAATAAAATACTTGGCCTTAAAGAATGTGTTTATATAATGTCATTGTCAATGTTCCTCTTCTGTCATTGCTTCTAATTTACATCTAATAAAGACGTGACCCTGACAGAATGTGTTAATATAATGTCATTGTCTATGTTCCTCTTCTGTCATAGCTTATTTACATCTAATAAAAGACGTGACCCTTACAGAATGTGTTTATATAATGTCATTGTTTATGTTCCTCTTCTGTCATAGCTTCTCATTCACATCTAACAAAAGACGAGGCCCTGACAGCTTGTGTTTACATAATGTCATTGTCTATGTTCCTCTTCTGTCAAAGCTTCTTATTTACATCTAATAAAAGACGTGGCCCTTACAGAATGTGTTTATATAATGTCAATGTTCCTCTTCTGCCATTGCTTCTTGTTCACATCTGATATAAGACGTGGCCCTGACAGAATGTGTTTATATAATTGTCATTGACAATGTTGCTTTTCTGTCATAGCTTCTTATTTACATCTAATAAAAGACGTGCCCCTGACAGAATGTGTTTATATAATGTCATTATCAATGTTCCTCTTCTGTCATAGCTTCTTATTCACATATAATAAAGGCGTGGCCCTGACAGAATGTGTTTATATAATGTCATTGTCTATGTCCCTCTTCTGTCATAGCTTCTTATTCACATCTAACAAAAGACGTGGCCTTGACAGAATGTGTTTATATAATGTAATTGTCTATTTTCCTCTTCTGTCAAAGCTTCTTATTCACACCTAATCAAAGACGTGGCCCTGACAGAATGTGCTTATATAATGTTATTGTCAATGTTCCTCTTCTGTCATTGCTTCTTAGTCACATATAATAGAAAACGTGGCCCTGACAGAATGTGTTTATATAATGTTATTGTCAATGTTCCTCTTCTGTCATTGCTTCTTAGTCACATATAATAGAAAACGTGGCCCTGACAGAATGTGTTCATATTATGTCCTTGTCAATGTTCCTCTTCTATCATTGCTTCTTATTCACATCTAATAAAAGACGTGGCCATGACAGAATTTGCTTATATACTGTCAATGTTCCTCTTCTGTCATTGCTTCTTATTCACATCTAATAAAAGACGTGGCCATGACAAAATGTGCTTATATAATGTCAATGTTCCTCTTCTGTCATTGCTTCTTATTCACATCTAATAAAAGGCGTGGCCCTGACAGAATGAATTTATATAAAGTCATTGTCAATGTTCCTCTTCTGTCATTGCTTCTTATTCGCATGTAATAAAACACGTGGCCCTGACAGAATGTGTTCATATAATGTCATTGTTTATGTTCCTCTTCTGTCATTGCTTCTTATTCACATCTAATAAAAGACGTGGCCCTGACAGAATGTGCTTATATAATTCAAATGTTCCTCTTCTGTCATTGCTTCTTATTCACATCTAATAAAAGACGTGGCTCTGACAGAATGTGCTTATATAATGTCAATGTTCCTCTCCTATCATTGCTTCTTATTCACGTCTAATAAAAGACGTGGCCCTGACAGAATGTTTTTATATAATGTCATTTTCTATGTTCTTCTTCTGTCATAGCTTCTTATTCACATCTAATAAAAGACGTGGCCCTGACAGAATGTGTTTATATAATGTTATTGTCTATGTTCCTCTTCTGTCATTGCTTCTTATTCACATCTAATAAAAGACGTGGCCCTGACAGAATGTGTTTACGTAATGTCATTGTCAATGTTACTCTTCTGTCATAGCCTCTTATTTACATCTAACAAAAGACGTTGCCTTGGTCGAATGTGTTTATATAATGTCATTGTCTGTGTTCCTCTTCTGTCATTGCTTCTTATTCACATCTAATAAAAGACGTGGCCCTGACAGAATGTCTTTACGTAATATAATTGTCAATGTTACTCTTCTGTCATAGCTTCTTATTTACATCTAATAAAAGACGTTGCCTTGGCCGAATGTGTTTATATAATGTCATTGTCTATGTTCCTCTTCTGTCATTGCTTCTTATTCACATCTAATAAAAGACGTGGCCCTGACAGAATGTGTTTACGTAATGTCATTGTTTATGTTCCTCTTCTGCCATAGCTTCTTATTAACATCTAATAAAAGACGCAGCCCTGACAGAATTTGTTTACGTAATGTCATTGTCTATGTTCCTCTTCCTTCATTGCTTCTTATTCACATCTAATAAAAGACGTGGCCCTGACAGATTGTGTTTACGTAATGCCAATGTCAATGTTCCTCTTCTGTCATTGCTTCTTATTCACATCTTATAGAAGACGTGGCCCTGACAGAATGTGTTCATATAATGTCATTGTCAATGTTCCTCTTCTGTCATTGCTTCTTATTCACATCTAATAAAAGACGTGGCCTTGACAGAATGTGTTTATATAATGTAATTGTCTATTTTACTCTTCTGTCAAAGCTTCTTATTTACACCTAATCAAAGACGTGGCCCTGACAGAGTGTGCTTATATAATGTCAATGTTCCTCTTCTGTCATTGCTTCTTATTCACATCTAATAAAAGACGTGGCCCTGACAGAATGAATTTATATAATGTCAATGTTCCTCTTCTGTCATTGCTTCTTATTCACATCTAACAAAAGACGTGGCTCTGACAGAATGTGTTTATATAAAGTCATTGTCAATGTTCCTCTTCTGTCATTGCTTCTTATTCACATCTAATAAAAGGCGTGGCCCTGACAGAATGAATTTATATAAAGTCATTGTCAATGTTCCTCTTCTGTCATTGCTTCTTATTCACATATAATAAAACACGTGGCCCTGACAGAATGTGTTCATATAATGTCATTGTCTATGTTCCTCTTCTGTCATTGCTTCTTATTCACATCTAATAAAAGACGTGGCCCTGACAGAATGTGCTTATATAATTCAAATGTTCCTCTTCTGTCATTGCTTCTTATTCACATCTAATAAAAGACGTGGCTCTGACAGAATGTGCTTATATAATGTCAATGTTCCTCTCCTATCATTGCTTCTTATTCACGTCTAATAAAAGACGTGGCCCTGACAGAATGTGTTTATATAACGTCATTTTCTATGTTCTTCTTCTGTCATAGCTTCTTATTCACATCTAATAAAAGACGTGGCCCTGACAGAATGTGTTTATATAATGTTATTGTCTATGTTCCTCTTCTGTCATTGCTTCTTATTCACATCTAATAAAAGACGTGGCCCTGACAGAATGTGTTTACGTAATGTCATTGTCAATGTTACTCTTCTGTCATAGCCTCTTATTTACATCTAACAAAAGACGTTGCCTTGGTCGAATGTGTTTATATAATGTCATTGTCTGTGTTCCTCTTCTGTCATTGCTTCTTATTCACATCTAATAAAAGACGTGGCCCTGACAGAATGTGTTTACGTAATATAATTGTCAATGTTACTCTTCTGTCATAGCTTCTTATTTACATCTAATGAAAGACGTTGCCTTGGCCGAATGTGTTTATATAATGTCATTGTCTATGTTCCTCTTCTGTCATTGCTTCTTATTCACATCTAATAAAAGACGTGGCCCTGACAGAATGTGTTTACGTAATGTCATTGTTTATGTTCCTCTTCTGTCATAGCTTCTTATTAACATCTAATAAAAGACGCAGCCCTGACAGAATGTGTTTACGTAATGTCATTGTCTATGTTCCTCTTCCTTCATTGCTTCTTATTCACATCTAATAAAAG